GTTACGACTAAAAAAATGTACATCCATAGTTAACTATTTTTATGTATATATCATACAATAAAAAAGCGGATAGTTTGTAGTTATAGAAGTTAATATATAGTAATCATCGCGGTGTGTATTTTTTTTCTTACTTTTCAATCAATTAATACGTACGTATCCATATGCGCGAGGCGTGCGTACATATTCCTGTTTTAATCTGTATATGAGTGTATTTTTTTTTATCTGTTTTGTGGGCGCATGTGTATGTAGGTATATATTATTTACGTGTTCTTGTACATGCGTATACGAAGTTATGTATTTACATACGCAGGACTGTCGAGACACTGCTGCATACTATGCTAATAGTATTATTATTTTTATTATTATTATTATTATTATTATTATTTTTATTTTTAATATTACTACTATTATTATTTTTATTTATCATTATATCAATATCATTATTATATTATTACTATATTCATTATTATTATTATTATTTTTTATTTTTATTATTCGCTTTGAGTGTGTGTTGTGTGTTTTTTACGATTATAAACTACATAACACAGGGTATGCTTTTTATTACACACACGAGAGCACGTTACTATATTATAAACAATTATCATGACTACTTACAACTGTCGCTTCTAATTACATTAAAAGGTATACATATACACAGTACGTACACAATTTTCTTCTTATCATTCTTTCGATTTTACACAACAACAACAAGTCGATGCGAAGTAAGGGTTGGAGAGTGGAGCAATAGATGGTGGCCCTATTTTATATATATATGCGAGGATAATGAGAAAAAGAAAGCAGAAGGGGGTGGAAGGGGATAGCCGGGATCCTACATGCTCCAAAAGATTGTTTATTGAAAATAGTTATTTATTTACAACTATCGATCGCACCGTTTTTATATACGCATGTGTTGTGTACGCGTGTATTTTATTTCTATCATATTTTCTTTTTCTTCTTTCTCTTTCTCTCTCTCTCTCTCTCTCTCTCTCTCTTTCTCTCCTTCCTTCCCCTCCCCCCCCACCTTTCTTTTTTTCTACCCTTCTTATCGTCGAGAGATTTTTCGACTAAAATAAAATTAAAAAGGAGAATTCATCAGCCGTAAACGAATTTTCTTTTTTCACGAGTGTTAATTTAAAAAACGAATAATTTTAATTTTTTTGGTCAGCCAATTATTATATTTTATATTGAAAATATTAACGCGCGAAGATCATTATAGATCGTCGCAATGTTATTAACCACTATTTCTTTATCTCCCAATCAATTTGTTTGTTTGTTAAAATCTGGTTTTGTTCGTCTCGTGTTATTTTACTAACCGAGTTTAATGCACGCGTCCTCCGTTGCTGCAATTTTCCCTGAGACTGATTCATAAACGATTGAAATCCGTATACAATGACGAAAATGCAACAAAGGACGTAGCTTGATATAATTGGATTCATATATAATTTCAAAAAAAGATATCGTGGACGAAAAACTCTCTCTATCTCTCTCTCTCTCTCCTTCTCTTTCTTCTTTTCCCTTTTACTTTCTCATATGTGCCCATAATTTTATGAAAACGTTTTAAATCAAAAAATTAAAAAAGAAAAATAAGTTTATTAATAATTTTATACAACACACATTAATTTAAACTAAATTATAATATTCAATGTAATTTTTACAATATTGTCAAAAATAAACCGTCAGATAGTGCTTGTTATTTCAACATTATATGGAATTCATTTATAAATGTTAAAATATTAAATCCTTTAAATATCTCGAAACAAAAGATACTATATATATATGACATAGACAACTTTTATAATTATAGGCACATATACCACGACGATATATAAATGATTTTTAATAAATTGTAATTATATTTTTTCTTTTTAATAAAATGATAATAAAAAACAAAAAAGAAAAAAAAAAAACAGAAGATCAAAAAAAAGATAAGTAAATTTGTTGTTTTACAATGGGGGATTCGTTTGTAAAGAAGTTTATAATTAAATCTATACTTAACAAAACTGAGTTATTCATTTCTTCTTCTTTTTCTTTTCTTTTTTTTGGATTTCCTTAAAACAAAAAATATGATTCGATAAGAACTTATAAGAAAATAAATTTTCCCAAGAAATAATAATAATAAAAAAAAAAAAAAAAAGAAATTGAGAGATGATATTAAACGTGGCTGTTAATGCATGATACATATATCAAATCGAAATGATCGTTTCAATATTCCTTTTCATGTGATTATTTAATATATGATTTTCTTTTTTCAATCTATAAAATCAAGCCGGCGATATTAATCTTTAAATTGCACTACCCAAATTAATAAATGCGATTTTATGCACCACTAAAAAAAATCGCTCTCTAATTTATTCGATTGGCCGATAACTCAGTACGATATTTTTCTGTCGGTTTTTTTACTTACTTAAATAGAGAGAAACAAAATCGTATCGGTTTATTGACCAACCTAATATCATCTATAATCAAAAACAAAAAAAAAACATTTAAAGATCGTAGCGACTCTGTGTTTAATCTATATAAACGCAAATTACGTACATATTATTTATGAATTAATTAGCGTGTAAAACACGTTGACAAAAAAAACAATGAGAAACAAAAAATCTTTAACAATGACTTAAACTAATTAATAGAAGTGGTAACGCCGTCCGCATTAGATTCAAATTCACATAACGTGTAAACTATATACATTAATTATTATTATTATCGTGTATCGTTTGAACTTAAACGACGTTTTAAAAAAAAACAAAAAGAGAAAGATACAACAATTTAGGAACAAAGTGTCAATATATCAGAGAACCAACTAAAAAAAAAAAAAACGAAAAAAAAAGAAATACTGTTAGTACATCGTGTTCTCTCGATCGACAATAAAAATTTTACGCTTTGCTTGCTTGCTTGCTTGCGTGAATGCGTGCGCGCGTGCGTGAGTGCGTGATGCGTGCGTCGTCGTCGTTTCATTGGACACGAAACAATCAAGTACTATAATAAACGCAAAATTCGTGCCCCATACGAAGTTTCGGTCGAATCACCTTAAACAACAATCGAAGCTTTAATTCATTATTATTATTATAATTATTATTTTATTATTATAATTATTATCATTATAATTACTATTATTATTATTATTATTATATTATTATTAAGATTATTATAATATTCTACAAACTTAAGCTGCCATTATTCAGCAGTTAGTTCAATCATTGCACGTTTATTAATCGATTTACTTTATAAAGTAATTCGATTTTAATATATTTGTCTTTCTATTTTTTTTCTTTTTAATATATTTTTTTTTGTATTACTTATATCTCGACGAAAACCTCGTATAACACGCTAGAAAACGCTGTTCTATATTTTAAATTCCTTCCATCTCTCTCTCTCTCTCTCTCTCTCTTTCTCGTTCTAACAACACACTCTCACTCTTTCTCATTTTCGTTTCCTCCACTCACTTTTTCTTTCAAATATAAGTACACATTCAATTCTAATCGTATAAGCACAACAGGGGGGACAATGTAGTTAATTAATTAAAAAATTAAATCGCATTCTTCGATCGTCGATGATTTTTGTTCCTAAAATAAAGAATAATAATAATAATAATATAACCACCAATGTAAATTTAATCGATATACGAAAAATCGACTAACATTTTTTTTACACGCACATCATCATCTGGCTGTTAATAAAATATGATCGTTCTATTTTGGACATACACGCGCAGCAACGCGCCCGCGCGCGCATATATCCGAATAAATATGTACTACTAATACAATGTGTCACAGGTAGCCGTAATTTGTTGTTGCCGCTCATCATTTCTCAAACGTTTTATCTCGCATATATTATTTCTATATATATATCTTATATATCTTATATAATAATATGTAGAGTTCGATTTTGCAACGCGTCATGCAAATCGTCATCTTGTTTCCTATATATGTATATCCGTAAAATATTCACGCCATTATTAACTCTAATCTCAAATGGATGTGTTGTTTTGTTGTTGTTCCTTCAGCATTACTCACTCTCCCGTCAAATATCGATTGATCAAAGAGAGAAGAAGAGACTTAGGAAAGCGATATATCACATGTGTAATGTTATTTAATAGAGTCAATAGAGTACTGCTCAATATTATTAATAATTCAACGTGCTTCCGACGAACGTGCCGTTGTTGCTTCTTTGGAATTAGATCCACGAATCTTCGGTCGTCCGTTAGGATTTTTTTTCGTCTCCTTCGTCTCGGAAATCTTGCTTTCATTTTTTCTCGTTGGGTTATATTTGTTTGCGAGAAAGGACGAGGATAAAGAAGGAGAAGAAGTAGATGATGACAAAGACGATGAAGATGACGAAGAAGAAGAAGAAGAAGAAAAAGAAGAAGAAAAGGACGTGGATGGTTTTTCCTGAGGAGAATCTCTTCCCCTCAGTGGTGGTTCCTGTCACCTGAGACTGATTAGCACCTTTTCGACGTTTAACAATGACTTCACCTTCTCGTTGTACTTTATCAATGTCACCTTTGATCCCCGCACGTTGATCTTCTCTCCACCACTTAACAAATGACAACATCGTGATTGTTCTAAGAAATCGGGAAGTTTTAATTCTCTCATAACGTCACGATGAGCAATCGTCGGTGGTCCAGTATGGGCCTTCGGATTAACTTGACGTAAGAGAGCATCGCGACTCTTTATCCTGAGAGCTGCCATTAAATCTTGAAGGAGGACCCACTTGTCCGAATCGTTGGCAAGAGAAAACAGGACTGGTAGGTTAATATCGCTCACCTCCATTTCTATCTCCTCGAGCTCGAGTTTTGGACTGTCCATGGGTGGATCGCTTAAAGGGTTATATCCAGTTTCTTCTGGATCTAGGGACGAAAAGGAAGTTAACACTTTTGTCTTTATCAAGTTGTCAGATTAAATAATGAACGGGAAATCCTACAATAACTTACCAAATATCGAAGCAGGTCCACCGAACGACCAGGGCGTACTACTACGTCCTTGGATGTCGTCCAAGTGTTGTTCCAGGATCGTATAAGCTTCAGTTTCTACTGCCAACATTAATGGTGTTTGTCCAGAATATGTGGCTAGGAGAGGATCCGCACCGTATGATAGAAGTAATCGCACAAGCTCCGTTGAACCGCTTTCCGCAGCCTCGTGAAGTGGTCTGTTTGTGATTAACCACGAATGTTTCAATAAACGATCGTCGTATATTAATACCATATATATTTTTTTTTTCTTTTTACTTACGCATACTTCACATTACTACCAACCTTATTCCTCCGTTTGCACTTTCGCTTGCATTCGCTCCGTAAGCGAGCAAAAGTTTAGCTATCTGCAAGTGACCTCTCGAGCATGCTTCATGAAGTGGCGTATAACCCGCGTTGTCTTTCGGACTAGGTGCACTGTTGAGTTTCTCCAAACAGTAGGCAGTCACATCCTGCATCGACACGTTTATCAAGAAGTTCGAGAAAAACAAACGAGATAATATTACAAAAAAAGAAACGTTAACCCACCGTGTGACCGAGTCTGGCAGCACGATGTAAAATAGTTTCTCCGACACCCTTTTTAATGACCCACGTCCTGATCTCCGATTGAATGTCCGCAACACATTCCGGACTTGGTCTTGACAATATCTGCTGCGGAAAAAAAGATTAATGGTCACTTTGAACTAATCGATCTGTAATAAGAAAAAGATAGAAGAATAATAAAAAATAAAAAGAAATATCTACATACTCTTTTTCGTTCCTTAGGTGCTGCGTCATCCTTCTTCAATGGTCTCTTTTTCTTCCTGACATAGTCGAATCCAGAACGGAATTTCCGCCTACCGGTTCGAAGTTTTAACTTCTTTTTGTTGCTCGGTACCTCGGACTCGTTATTCTCGTCCTCTATTTCGTTATTTTCAGTTTCCTGAGTATCGTTCGTTTCTTTCGCAACTTCAACTTCCGCTTCCTTTTTAACACGCTTCAACTTCTTCTCGGCCAAAGATTTAAGAAGATCCTTTCTTCTCTTCGATTTAAGTAAATGTCTTTTCGAATTGACGATTGCCTTGTGGCTTCTTAAAATACCCGCGTTTCTCAATCGAGACACTACCTTTTGTTTCAAACTACGTGGCTTTCCTAACGTATTTTCTACAGTTTCGTTTTGCGAATCATCGTCCTGTGAAGTGTCACCGTGAATTTGCATAGGTGGAGCGGAAGCTGGCCTATCCTCGCCGAATACCTCCCTGATGGTAGTCTGTTTCTTTAAAACACGCGTTTCCGTTCTCGTTCTACTGTTCAAAACGAAAGTCGAAAATTCGTTCGGAATCGCGTGATTATTCTTGAACGTATCGCGGAAATTATTGACCGTTTCTTTACGGAAATATCCCAAAAGGACGGAATCCGAAACTTTGATTGGTTTCAAAGATTTACTACTCTTAACTAGTGACGACTTGCCGCCTTTCAGTGTTTTCGTCGGAGCTTCTGACGCAAGAAGAGGAGTAAGACTTGGTGTTGCAAGAAGTTCGGGTTCGTTGTTACCTTTTTGAAGGATCTTCGTTGTTCCTTTCTCTAGTTTGTCCTTGTTTTGTTTCCTCTTAGATTCCTTTTTACCGGTACCAACTCTTTGGGCAAGTACATCTACGATAGAATTGTTTTCCAATCTCCCGCTTTTCGTCGTTGTTTTCGGTGGACAGGATATCGTGGTCGAGGAAGTTGCTTCCTCGTCGTCTATCTTACTACCAAGTCCAGTAATACTGTAACTATACTCGGATTCTACGTCACTATCAACGAGTCTCTTTCTACCTAAACAAACGTCAGAACTATCCATAGACACCGATAACGCTGGTGAACCAGGATCCAAATCAGGAAGGGACGTTGACAACCTATGAAATCTCGAAGGTTTCGAGACTGTTATTAGTCTCGTCGGCATTCGTAAAGATTTTTTATAAACATATACTTCTTCCTCCCAACCTGGTCTAAAATCACTACCATCACCGAACAAGGGTTTAGGTTTTATTTTTCTAGACGAAGAGACAGTCTTTGAAGAAGACGATTTCGTCTCTTTTTCCGTCTTATTCTTCTGTGGTGTTGTATCCCTAGAACGTAACTTCATGCCTTCGTTCTCTCCGCTGTTGTTACCTGATCTTTTCCTCGCCCGAAGTCTATCAGCAACGGTTGAACCATGTCCGTATTCCGTACTAACGTCACTTTCTTCGCTGGACGATTCACTACCACTGGATGAAGCTAATTTGATTCTACTACCGCGTCGTACTCTCCTTTTCCTACAAATGATTTCCTCCTCGCCATCGCTATCCTCCTTTTTCAATTTCTTTTTCGTTGCTCGTTTGATCAATGGCACTTCGTCGGAATCTTCTCCGGAATGTCTCCTCTCATTTTCCTTTGAATCAACTATAACTTTCTTCTCTTCTTTACTCACTGGTGGTATATCCATCGTAATAGGTTTTTTCTCATCATCTTTGTTACTTTCCGCGGGCTCGATCTTATCAACGACAAGTGCTTCCACCACATCCTGTTCCTCTTTTTTGATGTCTTCTATTTTGATCTTTATGTCAGCAGTTAAGTCGCTAGTATTAAGATCGGATTCCTTGCTACTATCGTTACCAGTATCTTCTAATTTCGAAGAGGGTCCATCGAGTTTCCTTTTTCTTCCACGTTTCTTCACAGCATCTCCAGCTCGTAACTGTTCCATAAATTTGTCACAAGTTACCGTCCAGAATGGATCCGCTTCGTTGATCTTGTCGTTTTCCTAAACATAATGTTCGTAATGTTCACGATAACGCGATCAAATGATTCGATTTATTACGGAGAAATTTGACGAAGTTAGTATAATTACCTTAAGCTCGATTTTCACTAGATCTATGGAGGACATACACATTGCATCGTTCAAGGGAATAGGAGGTTGAACCTTCGACAACTGCTTCCTGTCTCTCCTCATTTCCTCGAGAGTTTGACGCTCCAACACTGGCATCTCACCCTCGGAATCGCTCTCTCTGAAGTCAAAGACCGAGGTCTCGGAGGAACTTCGAAAACCACTGGCACGTGGTGGTACCGTAGAGGCAACTGCTGGCGTTGGAGTTGACACGGGTACCGTTGTAGCAGCGACCGGCATATTCTCTTCTTCCGTTCTCGAAAACAACCGTCTTCTCGGTGGAAGACAAGCTGCTTTTTCGCGAGTTAATTTAGGTGGGCTTCCCGCGGATGAACCAGATTGCGGGGTTGACGTTGATGCTGCGCTATCGAGTTCTGTAATATATATATTAAGTGTTATACAAGTATTTCATTGGATAAAACGAGAAACAAAAATAATTAAAATAACAATGAGAATTCTTTTACCTTTGGGGGTAGAAGATACATCTTGCGAAGGAACTACGGGTTTTGCCAAGAACTGTTCGGTGCCAACCTAATTCAATATAGTGATATCTTCTTAAACAGCTTAAACAATTGTACGATCATATCCGAAAGAAATGTCACGAATATTTTCAATAAAAAAAAACAAAAATATGTATTCTATCACGGATATATATTATAAAACTACCTGAGTATATTTGACTAGACCAGTCACAATATACCTCACCTGTTTCAGTTCCGCTTTCGTCCTGATTTTCGCGGCCAATATGGCCGCAAGCCCGTCATCCTTGTCACGGTGAATTTGATTCTCGGCTCCCCGAGGTCCCAAGAGAGCTTCCTTGCCAGGTAGCGTGGCGGATGAATTTACTCGCGAAGCGTACATACTACGGGGGGCCTCTTGAGTGATCGAGTCTACGGCTCGCGGCACATGGAACTTGTAATGCGGCGGTGTGTTGCTATTTCGTTCCAGCAAACTAGCCGCTGTAAACGGTGATAGATTGTGTCTACCTATATTTGTTTTAGGCTCCACAGGGGCGACGACCTTTATAAACAAAAAAAAACAAATGAGACTAATTGTTTTATAATTAGTATATTATAATTATTAAGTATAAGATAGTTGTTAGATTCTTAACTAAACGTCCTATTTAAGAAATACCAAGTAGTTATATGTAGTACGTTATCTGTACCTTGTTCTGAAAGCTTTGTTGATTGTGATTCGCCAAAATAGGTTGTTGACTGTTCAATTGTTCTTCCCTTTGTTGTTTATTTTCAAGACTATTTCTCAGTAAACTCAAAACGCGTTTATCCGCACCCGTATTACTCGGCTGATCGACCGGAGGTGAAGCCATTGCACTAATCGGAGGACAAGTGGTTCTTTGATTTTGTCTATAATTTGAGTAAGAAGTCTGACTATTGACTTGCTGCGGTAACGCGTGCACATTCGTTGCTTTCGAGATAGGTTGGTGATTATACGGCGGAGAGGTACGCGCCATCTTCGGCTCCGGATAATTCCTTTTATCACAGTAAGTAGTTTGTTGATACCTCAAAGGCGTCTCGGACATGAAAAAATTTTCCAATCTCTGTTGGTTGTAAGTATTAGGTGGTGGTATCAAGGTACCATTAGGCATGGCAACGGGCAAATTCATCTCTTGCCTTTTCTGTTGCTCATGGGGCGACTTAACCGTCGATAGTTTTTGTTCGATTTGTTTATCGATAGCTATTCTCCAAGTATCCAATCTAGGCTGCTTGTTCGGTGCAGTTCCAGGGTAAACAGTTTCACCGGATCTCTTGGTGGTCGAACGATGATCTTTCTGCACCGGCGAACTGAATTTGTTTCTCGCGTCTAAATAATACTTGATGGAGTCGGAAGGATGCTCTCCTCCCATGGGAGGCAAGGTGGTCGGCCCCATTTTTGGAGGATCCGCCACGGGATATCTAGACGAAGACCTCGAGGAATCATTGGCCGGTAGATAAGACGACGAAGACGGCGGCGGTGGTGCTGGGCTGCCGTCGTACATCGGCGTTATGGGCAGTGAACTCTTCTGGAACGTTGACATGTGAGGCAGTGGAGTAGTATTGTTCGTATATTGCGAGGGTAACGGTGCTTGGGGCGGTGGTGGTGGCCCATAAAGTTGTTGACCCATATTTCTACGAATGGGACTATCATGTGGGGGAGCGTGATGCTGCCTAAGCGGAGTAGAATTGAAATCCGGTAAGAAGTCGACTTTCGGTGCGCAAACTGTTTGCGGAGTTGACGTTCGAGGGCATACGGAAGGAATGGACGAATTCCTGACGCCACGAGTCGATACTCTAGTATCGTAATTAGAGTAAGAAGCCATGGGTGGTGGTGGTGGTGGTGCTAAAGTTTGAACAGCCGGTGGAGCCATGCTTCTTGCATTGTTGCTGCTGCTACTCCTCGACATTGTCGATGACGACGACGACGACGACAGCGATGACATCGAAGACGACAATGTTAGATTCAAATTACTCGTGTGCTTTTCCGTGGAAGAAGCCTCGAGATCGTCTTGCGCCGTCGAATCCGCAGACGTCTTAACCGTTTTTACGGAAAGATCGAGAGGAGATTCTCTTTTCCTGATACCATTCGTCTGCGGTAGTGGTGGTGCTGGTAATGGTGTACCTGGGACTGCAGGTATTATCGGTGCCGTAGAATTTTGATAAGATTGTTCCTTGTACGGATAACTCTCTGCAGTTCTGACAGTATGATGATAAGATCCCAAGTGGGCAGTCGTGTCGGAAGACTGATAGGCGTGTACAGGAGGAGCTGGAACGGAAGATCGGACCGTGGCACCGATGGATGTCACCGAAGTGTTACTAGAGGAATTACTGCCGTGATGACTGGGTGCGATGGTGGTCGCGTAAGCTGGATAATTTTGCTGGTTAGCGTATCTACCGGCATAGGTAGAGTTAACCGAGCTAGTTGTTCTCCCATTAACCGGTATCGTATGATTCAACGGCGCAGGAACTGGAGGATAATCTGGAATCCTCTGGGGAAGAACCATAACCGAGCTGGGTGGTGCAGCGACAGGGACTTTGTTCGTTGAACCGATAGAATGCACTCGTCGTTGGATCGATTGCACTTTACTACCCGATTCTCTCTTGTTGGAATGATAGGAGGACAAGGCGGCGATCGGTGGCAGATTGTGCGTGTTATTGTTTCTCTGCACGCCCGTCGAGGATGTTCGATAAGAACCGTAATTTCCAGCGATTTCCGCCGGACTTCTTTTCGTGTCGGCACCATTGTACATTACCGGTTTGTTCTGTTGCTGATAGTTCAAGTCACTGTTGCTATTCGTTGCGCCAGGACAAATTGGTTGAGGTGGTGCTCCCATCGGTGTTGGTTGGACGTATGACTGGTTGTGAGATCTATTTGATGGAGAGTAATAACTCCCATGCGACTGAGGATAGCAGATAACAAAAAAAGAAAAGAAAAGGAAAGGTTAATTTTAAAGAGATTAAATATAAAAAGATGTTTGTAAAGATAAAGGATTCTTACCTGCGACAGCGGCTGCTGCGGACTCTTTTGAAAGGAATGGTACGAAGACTGAGGTGGTGTCGCGTAAGGACTAGTATTGTATCCGGCATTCTGATAGTGTTGGGAGGTCGCCGGCACACTGTAGGAGTGCGGCGTAGACCTGGCCGGTGGGGGAGGAGGTGGGTAAGTCGGCGAATGCGGTTGGAAGGCTGCGTGAGGAGAGGGTGTAGGATGAGGAGAGGAGGCGTGAGGATTGTGAAGCGTCGATACGTGAGGAGATTGTCTGTGGGGTGATGGGGTGGCGTGTCGAGGTGGCTCGTGAGGTGAAGCTATCGGATGATAACCGCTTAAGCCCGTAGGAGGTATCATCTGTTGCGGATGGTTGGACGATGAAGACGACGATGAGGATGGCGACGGTCCGCTTTGCGAGAGAATCGTACGAGTAGTGTAGGCGTTTGGATTGGCTGAATGAGGGGAAGGATTTATCCTTGTGTGGTGTTGTTGCTGCTGCTGCTGCTGCTGAGAGTGTTGTCCATGAACGGAGGAAGCTGCGGAGGGAAGATGCGGAGAAGGAATGTGCGCTGGAAGATTCTGAGGCGACGGAGGAATGTGACTGGATCCGTGACGCGGATTGCAAGGAGGATTTCCCGAAGTACAAGGGTTGCCTGAAGAGGAGTTGTTAGAGTTCGAGGAGGAGGAGGAAGAGGAAGAGGATGACGACGAAGGCGCGTTCGTTCCTTCGATACCATATTGAGGTGGCCTGATTCGTTCGTCGATCGCCGGATTAACGGACCGAGTTTGCTGAAGTTGCCCACTTACGCGATAATTTTGAGACGATACGTAACCACCGGTCGATCCACTCGGCGGAGTTTGCACGCTGGATCCATAAGAAGGGTTCGACACTCGTTGTTGATCTTGTCCATGAACCAACACACTGTTCTGTTCGACCGGCGTAGGCCTTGTAGCCGGTTGTTGAACGCTTCCAGTCGTAGTAACCACCGCCACGTTGGCAGATTGATAGACGGAATTTTGCGAGAACGGTGCCGGTGCACTTTTCGTAATATCCGGATGATGATATCTCGGATAATATTGCGTTCTTTGCGCGACTATGGTCGTTCCACTTTGCGAAGACTGTCGGTCGTTTGCGGATTGATAATTCGGATGGGACGACGTCGAATGTGAGGTCGCTAAAATCTCCACGGTGGCAAATGACGTCCTACTGATATTATTGAGTTGTTGATAAACAGGTTCAGGAGAGTGATCTCTTTGAGGTGGTTGCAATTGATGCAATCTAGGTGAACTTGAGGTAGTCGTAGCTGCTGTCGTCTGATGGGACGAGTGTTGTTGATCGGCGGACGCGGAAGATACGGACGATTGGTTTTGTTGTTGAAAGTTGGATGTCACTGAGGATCGATGACTGGAGGGTTGCATTTCTGTTAGTGTTACTACAGTACCAGGAGAGGAGGAACTCGGTTCGGAACTTTCATCACCGGGCCTGGTATCCGGTACCTCCACTCTAGTTGGTTGCGGTGGATACGGTTCCATCGATGGATTCCAAAACGGACCGGAACTCGAGCTTCCGCTTTCGGTAGACGAGGACTGACCGACGTCACTTGAATAACGTGTTGTTTCTTGATTAACCACCGACGACGTCGACGAGGAGGACGGCGGTGGTGGTGGCGGAGCCACCGACGAGGAACCCACGCCATGATCGTGTGACGTGGATGCCGACGATGCCGAATTCGTCGACGAGGTTGGATGATTGTGATCCTCCGATGGTATCGCGCCTGTACTGGGTACAGGCAGTCCCTGGAAGTACTGACGAGCCCCCTCCAACACGTTCGTGAAGCTCACATCCATGTCACGCCAACTGCTAATCTGAAAAATATCAAAACGCATTTCTATGTAAAAACAAATTCTACGATCTTCCTCAATAACCATCGTTTTACCAATATGTCGGTAATTAACATTGACGGGATGCAATTACGTTCGTGAAGACTTGAAAGGAAAATACACACTGTCCTCGGAGATTACCAAAAGATTCGTTCGCACGAAAAGTAAGGAGAAATACCGAGGGAGAGAACGAGGCCGAAACATTAATCTTCATTGTCTTATATTTGTCCGTTATAATATCTCCCCTCTCTTAACCCAACCACCCTCGTTGTTCTCTCCCTGTCCTTTCTCTTCTTTCGTAATGTTGTTAGTCGTTCGTGAAGGGATCTCTTGTTATTAATTGAATTCGAAGTTATTCAATTGTTGTAATGACGATAGATTTGGTAAAGTTTCTTTAGTCGTCCAAAAAAGAAATATCAAATGAAAAAGTAATATCACGATCAAAAAATGATCCCTTGAGAATGCTATACACAAATAATATAGTTCAAATAAATGTTTTAAATTAAAGTTAAAATGATAAGTAACGATAGGCGTTACGTGATATCTCATGGTCAACTGAAACAAGGCACGAAAAAAGGGTACCACCACCTTTAGATACGCACGCAATTACAAACGTCATTTTTCTCTCATCCCTAATCCGCATATGACCCCATGCATGTAAGCGTATTAATATAATACATCGCATTATAATATTTAAATCGTTAATTACGTTCGCGCGAATGAACATTTGTCATTAATTGCATCTAAAATCAAGTGAAATTATTCTTTTATTCAATCAACGATATTTATTGTATAATTGATATTGTGTTATAAAAAAAAAAAAGAAGAAAAAAAACAATCGTGCGAGCAAATAACGGAAACAACGACGTATTTTAAATACTTATTTCTTTTCTCTCGTTGAAATTTTTCGCGAATAATTATTATAAACGTAAAATGATGAAAAATAGGTCGTTCGTATTTAATACAAAATTAGCTCGTATTTGTTCTTGATAAATGCGAGGTAGAATTTATTCGGCCATGGAAATGAATCAAATGCTATTTAAAACGCTGTTTAAAATGCTATTTAAAATGTTAATTTTGTTAACAAACTGTTTATCGAGATTTTTCTTGACAGCTCTCAATACGAAGGATGAGGAGGTAAAAGAAGAACGGAAGTAAGTAGATTAATCGTTGGAAATTTCGCGAGGTGGGAGAGATTAATCGTTTCTTTCGTGATAGAAGAAAAGCTCACTTTCTCTCTCCCTCTCTCTCTCTTTCTCTTATCAAAGTTGTTCATATCGAAAACTCTCGATAAACGTATGCCAGCCATTCATCATTTCTGACACGTACGACGGCGCTTCGGGCGAACGATTTCATCGTCTAAACTCATAAAAAGGAATAAAAAGAAATTTACGGAAGAATCCGAATGATAGTCATTGGTTTCTGATAAAGAAAGGAACGATCGTGTCGCGATTCATTGACATGAGAAACATCAAAAAGAAGGAAGGAAAGAAGGAAGGAAGGAAGGAAAGAAGGAAGGAAGAAAGAACGTGAATAACAGAAAACTGAAGATGATGATGTACATGAGAAAAAGGTATATGTATACGTATATATATATATATATTATATAAAAAGAGAGGTAGTTAGGATAAGATAGGAAAGTCGTAAAGGTATAACGGAAGAAGCCTTACGATAGAGATATAAGAGACCACTATGGTACCTAGAGAATGGCCAGCGAGTGTTACAAGCACTAGGACTACAACGAAGAAGACGGGTATGGGCCGTAGTATAACAGTGCTATACCGTGCTGGAAGCGACTGAGGAATCAATATCGTGCTGTGCACCCTTGAGGGGTTGCTTCCCTTCGTCGTGCACCAGTCAAAGGCTTTCCTATATAGGTATTTGTGAGCTCAACACATACATATGAATAGTCACGGATGTAAGTACTAGATACTTATGTGTGTTAACCTACTACACACGTGTACGTTTGGAGATATATATATATCTATGTCTTTGCGTGTGTATATTTGCGCGTGTATTTGTATAGATCTGTCTACGTGCATCTACGTATAGAAAGGGATAAGGTTGACTGGAATTCTCATAATTTCGGACATTCGATAAGGTTCAACAGTAGTGTATAATAAATATCAGAGTTAACGCAGTGCCCGATATGTTCCAACAAATTCGAAAAGAGAAAGAAAGAGAGAGAGAGAGAGAGAGAGAGAGAGAGAGAGAAAAACAGAGAGGGGAGAAATGAGAGCACGAGTGGTAGCTACGATAAAGGTGTTTTAGTACCGGATCAATTTCGATGAAAAGGTACACGATAAAGTTTGCGGAGGAATGGATACTATGCTTTTCCAAGCGAGTATCGATCGATACCAATCTCGTGTGCATGATCATTCGATTAAGTCGATCGAGTTAGCTTTGAAATCACAGTGATTATGGTAATGGTAGTGAACATGTTACTTCGAATAACTCCTGTCACGTGTTATTTCGAAGGACGAAGAAAGAAGTATCGTTTTTCCTTGTACTTCAGAGTGATACTTTCCATATTGATGGATATTCAACGTCTCTTTTCCATCGCATAATACCACACTCTCCCTTAAACCAGCTTATCTCTGTTTCTCTCTTTCTCTCTCTCTCTGTTTTTTTGGTATAATCTTGATTTCTCTGGAGACCAGAAAATACGATTGATCGAGATACGTAGTTGAAGTTATCCACAAATGAGAGCATTTGATTTGCTTTTAACACCATCGTTGAATAATTTAATGATTTTTTATTTTTTCTTTTTTTTTTTTCTCTTGGAAAGAGACCTTGACAATTTTGAAGATCCTTGATATTTCAGTTTTTTTTCGAACTTAAAACTTAATATTTTTCTTACGAAAGAAAGTTGTTTTTAATTCGCGTTTATCAAGTTTACGCATGCATCTTTCAATTATCTAATTATAAGACTCTCCACGAGCAAAAGTAGATTCCATTGAATGAATGTGTAGAATCAGCTAGGGAGGACGTAATGGGGTCAAGGAAGCCAAATCCGTGGGGGGAGATGGGACGGACAACGTAACCGATGAAGTCGCTAGTTAACCCTTTGGACTCGTTTGTCACGCTGAAGGTAACAATAGAGATTTGCTAGAAAACTCCTATGTCACCTCTTCGAGATAACAACAATAATCATTTGTTCTTATAACAGAACACAGAGTATTTTCTTTTATATTATTTTAGATACTTTAAGATGAAAACTATTTACTACTTTGTTTCATTTTGTATTGGAACAAAAATTAGAAGAGATAAAAAAAAGAAATATATTTATCTGTGTTTCGTATATATTCGTCACAAAAAATCATAATTAAAAATAAATAAATGTAATAAAGGGGTAAAAAACATTGGCAAAAAAAAAAAATAAATAAAAACGAATTTAAAGAATTAAAAAAAAGTCATTGAAGGTACCATAAGCAAAATAAGAAATAATAGGCGTTATTTTCCTTATCCTCTCAATAGGAAAACGTGAAAGGAGAAAGGGAGAGTACAATAGAATAGAATAAAAAAAAAAAAAAAAGAAAAAAAGAAAGAAGTAGATCGAAAAGCTGGATCATCCGGTGCTTCGCTTCGTAGAAGGAAATTGTTGTTAAAAGGATTTGTTCCAGCATCCTTCCTTTTTATCGTTTGCGCCTTATCCCAATAGCAATTAAGGAAATTTTCCTCGTCTTGGGAACGATACTTTTTCCCTTCGATCTATCCTATCACTCCACTTTTTTCCTTTCTATCTTTTTCCTTTTCTATTTCTTTTCTTTTAAGTTTCATTCCTCGTTCGTGCTTTTCTTTCACCTTAAAAGCGAAAGACGGATGCCCCCCCCCCGTTGTCGGTGTATCACTTTAAACTCGAAATTAAAATACACATCCGTCGAAACTTTATCCTACCTTTTGTTTTCTTTCTTTCTTTTTGTTCTTTTTTTTCTTCTTTTCATTCTCATGAACCAACCTTTCTAATGAATAGAAAGAGATTCGGATAGTAGAGAATAAACGTACGAGAATTCATTTTTAGTTTATTCAGTTAGTTTCGTTTAGGTACGGATATGAAAATGATTATTATTTCTCGTCCTTTTGAAAATCATTTTAAATCCCTACAAACGCGATCCAATATTTCATCCCATGTGATATAAAGAGTTGGTAATAATGGATGATACCGTGGCAAACGATAACAATTATTCGCCAAACGATATGACGAATCCTCGTGTGCACACAATGCGTGTCCGCGTACTTGTTACTCTAATTATCTCGCATTTCATATTATAATTTATGAGAACACGCTTTCCATATATATATATATATATATATATGGAAATATATTATATATATATATATATATATATATACATATTATTAAAGGATAAATATATAAATTCGCGTATGTGAAAATTCTACGTTTGGTTCGAACCAAAAATTCTAAAATCTCCGTCCGTTATCAAATATATTTCTTCCTTTTACATTTTATTTTCAACGCGATGTTTGCCTTGACACAGATTATCGAATTCAATTTTACTCAAGCAAGGAAGTAATTCTTCTCTCTCCTCCTCGTTTTGATAGAAAATGTCAACGCGTTTAAAAGGAGGTTGATTCGCATGGAAATTCAATGTTTTAACATTACAAGTAAAACGATAACGACGATGACTATGGCTATGACTATGGCTATGACTATGACTATGACGACGACTACGACTACGACTACGACGGGGCCAGGCCAGGCCAGGCCAGGCTAAAGAGAAACTTCAATTCACAAACGAGATTTTCAGAATACAATCGCTAAATGGCAGTATGCGTACCTTCGGCTTCAACAAAGTACAGTCGTATCCCGAAGGTACAACGTGCAATTTACTAACGCCAAAGCACTCCGAGGGAAAACGGTTGAAGTACCGACAAACGTAAAGGGTTCTCTCTACCTCCTCCTCCTCAACCTACCCTCCTTCCCTCCCCCTCCCTCCCTGCCCCTCTCTCACTCTCTTTGTAAACTCGGTTTCAACGAAGATATCACACGCTTACCACCGTACAACATACTTCTCCCTTTTCCCTGTTTACACGCACTCTCACCTACCAGCGCATACACGTACGCATACAAATAAATGCATAAGAGAGAGAGAGAGAGAGAGAGAGAGAGTAGTATGTTAACCAAGCGTAGAAGGATGACGAATTTTAAAAAACGGTTTAACCGCACGAAAATCAAACGCTAACCAACTTGACGCTTTTTGTTCTCCTTCTTTTATTATGTTTTTTTTTTCCCCCGCGTTGAAAGGTACACGGTTTCAGAAGCAAACGTCTCGATGGGACTTGACGCGAAAAGTGCATAAAAATTTGGTAGAACTACATTTATTATTATTATTTGTAAGAGAAACTTCTGGGTTTGATTAGAGATATTATTTTATACATTATTTAATATCGGTGTTTTTAGGTACTTAAAAAAGAAGCTGTTAAATTTCACTCGGTTAAATTTTATTATTATTTAAAAATGTTATGCGTTTTTTTTTAGAGGAGAGAGAAAAAAAAAAGAAAAAAGAAAAAGGATTTTGAAATAGTCGGACAAGGTTTGAGAGGATTGGTTCTTGGTTGAGAGAAAAATATAATAGAAGAAAAATTCTCGGAGATTTTATCTTGTAAAACTATAATGCGAAAGGGAAGAAGAGGAGAGAGAGAGGGTGGATCCGTTCGCAGACGCGATTAAAGTTACGCGATGAGTCGACGATAGAAAAGTATGTACTGGCCACTACTAACACATCTAACAGCTAGCCAAGGGGGATACATAAAATTAAATAAAAGAGACATAATGAAAAAGTAGGCGGTAACTGGGAAAAGAAGCAAAATCTCAACTTCCGTCGACAATCATAAACCGTCCGCCGCATCCGTGTTCCTTCCTACTACCTTGCACACACTGTTCCTTCTTTTTATTTCTTTCGTTTCTTTCTCTCCCTTTCTCTCTTTTTCTCTCGCCTAAGACTTTTCCATCCATTCGGAAGTTTTTCGCAAAGTTTACGAACACGTTGCCCCGACGAAGAGAAAGCCACTAACGCTTTTAAAAGATTCCCTACGACAATCTTTTTAAGAGACTGCTTATTTATTGAGTCAGTATTTTTCTATCTTATTTCCTTTTTTTTTTTTTGCTTTTTGTTTTTCTAACTACTTTAAATCAATTCTTAAGAGATTTATAATAATATATTTATCTGTAGGATGTGTGTGTGATTTGTAATTACATCGATTAATACGAATTGTAAATAGTTAAATTATATTATTTGTGGGGGATAAATATTTATTAATGTTTATGTATTCAATATTTTTAAACATTTTTTGTTCGGCATTTGAAATAGTTGTTAAGTATTTATTATAAAATATTAGTATGGAACCTAAATCAATATGTGTATCAATTGCATGCAACTCTGAAAATAATTCTAATTCAATAATGATATATATATTATCAATATTAGTTATCTATTTAAAATATCAATAAATTATTATTTACATCAAACAAAATATTCTCATATATATATGCTAATGATTATAATTTTACAGAATACTAATCGAATAAATAGAAGAGTTTCTCTAATACCTATATATGTGTACATATAATCGGGTTATATATTTGCTGTTTATATAAAAAACAAAATGATTGTTTTTTTTTTTTAGAGTCGATATATTTTCATGAAAATCATGCATGCATGCGTTTTTGTTTATTCATCAGCCGTGTTCCTTCGGTCAATGATATTCACGCGATACAAATATATATGCATCAGGAAAGTTAATATATATCCATCAGGAAAGTTAATAAAAATTTAAATTCCTACCATTGAGAATCTTAATCGATTATTCATAAGGTATCGATACGATAAGTCGCTTTAAGATATTCTTTCGATATCTTTTCTTCCCAAGCAGCAGATTGATCGACCGATTCCAGCGACACTTTTCCACCCTTCGTAAATTCTTTCCATCTCTTTTTCACTATTTTTTATTAAATCTCTTCCCTCTTTCGTTTTTCTATCGTCCAATGAAAATTCCCCCCGAGTTATTTTACAAATTTTCCAATAAAAAAAAAAAGGTTCAACGACAACCAACACAACCGAACATTCGAAAAGATCGTTAACGAATCGCAACATTACTTATATCATTTTACCGTTTCCCTATAAATTTCGGTTTCTACGCAACATAACAATATCTTATGGTATATAACGGGACTTTGGGATGATCATAAAAAAATATTCTTATCTACGAGTCAGTCCTCGCACAGTGGCAAGCCCCGCACAAATATCATAACATAACTGAAAATAAACTAAATCGATATATCGGGATCGATATCAAACTGAAAAAAACTTTGTCAAAAATGACAAAAAACATTACCGTAAGGAATTCGATTAGTTTTCAATCTAACGCACCACTAGGATTCGGATCAAGTACAAACAAGAATTAACATTCATGAGTGTTTTTTTCTCTCTTTCTCTTTTGTGAGGTTCCTACCTACACCTACGCTCGGATATTCGCTTATTTAATTTCCTGCTGAACCCAATGCTGAGAATCGCAATGAAAAAAAAAGAAAGAAAGAAAGAGAGAGAGACACAAGAATAAAACGATTGTATTATCTATACATACAACAGCCCCCTCCTATTCCGATCAACCCCCACGTATATACCTCCTACTCATGAACAAGAAACATATGTGTGATATTGCTATTGAGAGGTGCATTGTATGGTGCAAAAGTCCATTTCCAACGGAATAATTAGATTCAAGGGCAAACGGGACAATAGCTTGCCCACTTAAAGCGGTCTTGCCCGGATGCACGCAACGTTTTGCTTCGAGCCTGACTAAGCACCTACTCTACTCGTAAGCGCAAACTCGTTCCTCTACCATCACCACCATCACCACCACCACCAACCATCACACCACTTCCTTCTCAGTCAGGTTTTCTGCTTTCGGTGCTTTTCTCGCGAACACTCTCTCTCAACCATATCCACTTTTTTTCTTTTTCTCGACTCGAGTCTTTTTTAATTCCCAATTCGTAGTCTAAAAATATTGATCTCTTGAAATTTTTCAAAGATCTTTAAAGCTTCTCATTTTGTCCGATAATAAAAAACATTCCCATATAGATTTTTCTTTAACTCGGATTTTTTATTCGTTCGTTCTTGTGTAAAATCGTAAATTCGTAATCGGAAAAAAAAGAGGTATTATCCTTGAAAATCTTTGTAAAAGATTCAAGGACCAATTGGGGGGGGGGGGGAAAACTAAAAATCAGTTAAAAAAAAATTCCCCGATGAAATAAAAGTCCTCCCACTCCCTGCGTGTAAATATATACACGCGGGAACATCGATACGATCGATGATAAAATAGAAAAAAAAAAAAAAAAAAGAATAAGAAGAAAATTGATAAAAGAGATAAGGAAGTATCGATAAAGAGATTAAAAAGAGAGTTAGTAGGATGGAAGGGCGAGGGGGAGGGGGGGGCGGGGAAAAGAAAACGATTACATTATAAGATCGAACTGTCGAGTTTTCTCGCGAAGTAGATACGATGTGGAAAAAAGCCAAGAAGGAAGATATGCAAATGGAAAAGAAAAAGAAAAAAACGAGGGAGGGACACGACAACGACGACGACGACGACGAATTAACCGGATATCGGCCGACTAATGGATATTAGAATTTTCTCTTAAGGATTACATTCATTTGACTTCCTTTAGACGACTGATTCAATCCACACCACGTCATTTCGTAACTTTAATATATTATTATGTGTACGTATATATATATGTTTGTGAAGAGCTTACCATTTTTTCAAACTTTTATTTCTCACATATTATAGAAATATATTTCTTATTCTACACGCGGGGGGATGATAATAATGATAATTAATCAGTCGGGATAATAAAAATTGTAGACCAAATAATTGCGTTTAATATTGAAAAGATAAAAAATTGTTTCGATACCTATGAAGCCTGACGAATGCATTTAGGTGTGCCGGGGGGAGGGATTGGTTTATCTCGAAAACTCTGACGCGAATTACCTGGAACAGAAAATAAAATATCGATCGATTAGAAAAATAAATAAACTGTCACATATCTTTTTTCTTTTTTTTTTTTGTATCCTTCATATGAAATATGACAATTTTTTCAATGATTCAAGATACATTGGATATTAATGTTGTATAATTGTCTAAGAAACAAAACAAAAAATCAATCACGTATAATATCACGGAAGTTTTTCGATACAAACGTCACTTACGGAATACTCGAAGTGAAAAGAAGATAACAAAAATAAAGAGAGAGAGAGAGAGAGAGAGAAAGAGAAAGAGAAAGAGTTGCGAATGAACACTGACGTTTGCCCTACACGGTCATTAAGACGATAATGGACGGTAATTAGGTGCGGTGAATTTACCTCCGAATCTAGCAATTAACGTGGTGGTCCTCCTCCGAGGAAACTAAGGGAAGAAAACTGTTACGAGTAGAAAGAGAGACAGAGAGAGAGAGAAAAAAAAGAACAGGAGAAAGAGAAGGAGGAAGATGAGAATGAGGATAGGGGGGGGTTGGAAGGGTGAAACGAACGAACGAGAGTGGACCAACTCCGAGTGTTAAATCCAAAGAGGATAGAGAGTACCAGAGGAAACGTCCATGCTGCAAAACTACAGGACTGTGGCAGCTGTTAAATGTAATTTGACATTACGAAAGTTATGTTGTGCGAGAAAGCACGTGACGTACTCTTTCCGTTGACCTACTTGTACCTCAAATAAAAAAAAACAAAAATTAAAACAGCACAGAGAGAGAGAGAGAGAGAGAGAGAGAGAGAGAGAGAGAGAGAGAGAGAGAGAGAGAGGGAGAAAGATAAATCCGTAGCTTAGCAAATAAATTATCCTATAAAAATAAATCTCAATTATATTTGACATTTAAATATGATATATCATCGGAGATTCGTTTAAAATATAAACCCTTTGTATTTTTAACATATAGATAATTATTGTAGATATTGCACCCACAGCTGACTTCCCCCCCCCCTTAAATATATATCTCATTAATTTATGTAATGGAGAATAAAAATAAAATATTGTAATCTAATGAGAAAGAGAGATTACACGTTAATCTCCCGAACCACCGATCGAATTTTCCAAGGCCTATTTATATTCATGTTCGAACGAAACACACGACAGATTTACGCATGAATCGACCCACCACAAAATAGCTCTATTCTCGTGTTAGTATCGATGCTTAATTAACGGTATCGTTAGTTTTCGATGATCCGGAGTTACGTGAAAATTACACTACGAGCTGCCTTAAGCGATATACCGTTTTCAGTATGTCTGTGTACGTATATATGTGCAATATGGGCACACCTGCTACCATAAATGGCGTATGCTGATGGTTCCTCTATCTCAATAATATTTCTAAGTAACATCGAGATACGAGAAAGCCAATGATGATATCTAAATTATTGCTTGTTTCCATACAATAATAATGTGATAACATTTAAAATAATTAATGGGAATAATTTCATTAATTATTATCGTTCTAATTATTAATTATTCGTACATTTGGTAAATGCTAATCTTACTGACATTCTAGAAGAATAATGACAGATTAAAAGAGAAATTGGGCCGCATGAAAAGCAAACAATTCCCACCACGTGGAATTTATGCTCGTACGGAGTGGGAACCTTCACTACGTTAAATTTATAGCCACGGTCTCTTGTTGTTATACGTGCGTACGGTGAAACGTAATTTATTATTAGACTATTTCGAAGATCGATGAGATTGATAAAAACGATGAAAAGGATATGATATTAGGATCATACCGATGTCTCGTAATTATTAATGAGAAAAATATCAACGATTCTAATGATAAGTGACTTTTAATTATAGCTTTTAATAAATACTTGAAAGGAACAATTTTCTTTTTCTTTTTTCGAAAAAGTATATATATATATATATACTTATTATACATATAAAGTAGATTCATTGGACGTGGTAGCGTGTAACGGAGAGCGTATGAAAAGACAATGAAATTCAAGACGACCTCGAGGATGTATTTCGCTCTCGACAAGAGAAAGAGAGAAAGATATATAGAACGAGAGTGTTCTTCTAGCAGACGAGTTATAAAAGGCAAGGCGGGTTAACGGACGCGAGAGAGAGGATATTAGAAAGAAAGAAAAAGGAGAGAAATACTCCAGTAGAAGAAGAAGAAGAAGAAGAAGAAGAAGAAGAGAAATAAGACGCCAGGAAATTTTCTCAGACGGCTCGTAGTAGGAGGGCGGCTTTCGTTCCGTGAAAAATCTTGCGTCTCGAGAATTATCGTAAAGTGGGTTACTCGTTTCGTGAGAAGCGTGAAAGGGTGAAAGGTGAAGGAGAGAAAGAAAGAGATAGGATAGAGGATAGTAAGAGTAAGAAAGAGAGAGAGAGAGAGAGAGAGATAAAGAGACAGAAAAGGGCGAGTAAGGTCGTGTTCACGATGAGAAAGAGAAGGGCGGAAAGTGCTACTGAAAAATAAAACGATGCCGTGCCTCTATATTCGCCTTGAGGAAGGAGGAAACGATAGAGGCGAACAAATTTTCTTCATTTTTAAAAAGTCTCGGGAAAATTTTCAATTACATTTGCGAAAGAATCCTTTGCGTGATCTATTTTTTTCTATTTTTTTCTTTTTTTTTTTTTCTTTTTTTTTTTACCTAACATCTAATATTTAACGAACGGTTAGAAATATTAGGTCGAGTAATAAGTGTAATATCTTATTGGCCCCCAGATAAGTGTGCGATTAGTTTATTAAAATAAACATTTGGATATAATCGATCAATATTTAGAATAATATTTTAAATACGCGTATTACTGAACATCAAATATATAATCTAGTATGTAAAATGTTAATATGCAACTCTGGTTACTGTTATAAATACTGATCAAATAAATGCAAGAATATGAAAAATGTATAAATAGAAAGAAAAAAAAGAAAAGACGAAAAGAGACGAATGTATTGATTGATGGAAGAGTCTGCAAAGTTGTCAAAAAAAAAAAAAAAAAATGTCTTTCTAGATCTTTTTTTTACTGAAAGGATATCTCGTCTCGAGGATTGTTCTCTTAAAGCACGTCGTTGGTTCGCGCGAGACAAAAAAAAAAGAAAAGTGAGAGAAATGAAAGAAAAAAAGAAAAAAAAAAAGAAAGAAAGAGGTTTAGAGAAATAGGGTGAAAGGTAGAAACGGTGAGGAAACAGAAAGAAGATGAGAACGGTCGATGAGAAACGTTTGAGAACCGAATTCTCTCGATGTCGTTTCCTCGTCTTTACACGGTGCGGTGAGTATGCATCCCCCTTCCCGCTCCCTTTCTTCTTTTTTTCCTCTTTCATCCTTTTTCTACTCATCTCGAAGCCAAGCAACCCTCCAGCAAGTTAGAGCCCACACACCCTTAACAGTTTGGAATAAGCGACACGACGAAAGAGGAGAATCGTATTTATGAGGGGTTTCCTTGCTTCTGACCATAGAAAAACGATTCCGATGTAGATATCTTTCTTAAATAATATTAAAGTAAATTAATATAAAATACAAAATATTATTGACATAAAATTAAGAAAAATTGTATACGTATGCATAATTACTTTCTGATTTCTACGAGCTTAAAATGGAAGGAAAAGAAAAGTATACTTAGATGGATATGTTCCAGTAGTTGGACTCGAGAAGAAGGAGAATTTAAAGAGGAAAAATAAAAAAGAAATAAAAGAGGCATCCAGTATTACAACGTAGCGAGAAAGAACGTCGTCGCATAGGGAAGAATGTGGCTTACGAGGAAGGTAAGAAAGCGTTCGCGTGCATCGGTGCGCGCTGCACTTCTGCCTGGCCCTGAATGCACCGAGCCAGCGATTACTCGGATTGTATGTACATATATATATATATATATATATACGTATGCACCGAGCATAGTGCATCGACCGACCTTGCGATCTTCAACCCGCCTTTCCGGCTTGGTAGTACGACCTGTTTGTTAGAATATTGATCGTAAGCGAATTGAACTCGCGAGTTAAGCAAAAATCGATAATTAACATTTTTTCGGAAGCTTGTTTAAAAAAGAAAAAGAAAAATGATTTTCAAGTGAAATCTCAAAAGAACAAATCAATACGCGGAAGGAAACAAATAATAGACAAAATATGTCCGACTCATTTTCCGACGAGTTTCTTTCGCTACAGGAAAGGAAAGGAAATAAAATAAAAGAAAAGAAGACAAAAATCAACAACGTATTAATTGTTTTCGTGAATTTATTAAGAATCATTTGAGAATGCGAAGATTGACGAAAAATCGAACGAAAGAGAAAAAATGTTGAAATGACGGTTGAAGAGTTTTTAGCGGCATTGGAAAATGGGATGAAAAAAGAAGAACAGAAAAAATAACACGGCGGAGGGGCAGGGAGGAGGTAAAGGGGAAAAAATTCAAGCTTTCAGGATTTTCGGCGTGCGTAGCAAAAATTGTTGGAACATAGAGAAAACGTTGGGTTGTTATCCTTCCCTACCCCTCTCTCTTCCCCAAAAAATATGCATTTAGGACGGTAAAACGATTTTCTCGAGAATACGTTGTTGCCGGAAAATCGCGAGTGGATTTGAAAACGTTCTTTCATACGAGAGAATTTCTCTCGCACTTCGTCGTTTCTTTCTTCTCTCTTTTTCTTTTTTTATCTTTTTGGTTTTTTTTTTTTCCTTTTTATATCTACTACCCCACTAGTACTATATTCCGCAAAACTTTCAAATTTACAATTGAATAGAAGTTCCACTCGACGACGACGACAACGACAACGACGACTCCGCAAACTTTACGATTATGTGTCCTACGTGAATCCTTTATTTTTCCCCTTATCTCTCGAGGTCATAAGTCAAATCCGTAATTCGTACTATGAGTAGGTATAACCAATTTGAAATAAGACATGACGAGAAGGATCCAAATGTCATGACTTTCTATGAGAAAAAGAAGCACTCTCTCTCTCGAATAGAAGAAGAAGAAGAACCCAAGAATCTAGAAAGATCAAGTTTTTTTTCGGGAACGACA